CACTGTGCCTACTGTGGTTTTCTCTGGGCCACCTTCCTTTGCTTTTCACAGCAATGTGTGATGATGTATTGAAGTCAGTGTGCATCTTTTTTCTTAAAGAGGAGGCCATGACATCGGAAAGGCCCCCAAGCAGTGAGATATTCAACGTTCCCTTCCCATGACTATGTTTTGTTCCTGTACTTCACTGGACTTCCTGCAGAGAAGATATTCAATCAACAAGTTGTGTGCTCCATTTTGAAACATGGCAAATCTTAGGTCCACTTATTTTTGTTTGTATCATCACACTTCTAAAGTGCTTTCTTTTCAATTAAAAAAAAATCGAGTCATGGTCTCACTATGTAGCTCTGGCTGGCCTACAACTTGCTATGTAGGTCTGGTAGCCTTGAACTTGCAAAGATCTACTTGCCTCTGCCTCTTGAGTTTTCAGATTAAAGGCATGTGCCATCATGCCCAGCCTTAAAATAAAATTTTAAGTTGGTCTACATAGTAATGAATTTATGGTATTTTCGTGTGTGTGATTATACTTTGTTCTTATTCATAACTTTCCTCCAATACCTTCCCCCATAGTCCTTTCTTCTCTGTTGCTGATCAATCCTCTTCTCCTTGCAGAGTCACCCTTTCTGTTTTCATGTCCCTTCTCTTTTCCCACCATCCTCTTCCCATAGGATCTATTATCATGATCTGTTGTACACTTTCATGACTTCTACACACATGTTATTATGTATGTTTAAATCTAGATTCTTCGTAGGAGAGAAAAACTTGAAGTATTTGTCTTTCGGGGTCTGAATTATTTCACTTAATATAACTAGTTCTAGTTTTATCCATTTCTCTGCAAATGACATGATTTCATTCTTCTTTACGGGTGAAAAATTCCAATGTGTATATGTATTACATTTTCTTTTTTATTTTTTTAATTAAATTTTTAAAATTTATTTTACATACCAACCACAGTTTCTCCTTCCTCCTCTCCTCCCATTCCCTCCCCCACCTCCTTTCTACCCCCTTTGTCCCCTCCTCCAAAAGAGTAAGGCCTCCCATGGGAGTCAACACAGCATGTCATACCAAGTTGAGGCAGGACTAAGCTCCTCCCCGCTGCATCAAGGTTGAGCAAGGCATCCCACCATAGGGAATAGGTTCCAAAGAGCCAGCTCATGCATCAGGGACAGATCTCGGTCCTACTGCTAAGGGCCACAAACAGCCCAAGCTACATAACTGTCTTCCACACGCAGAGCGCCTAGGTCAGTCCCATGCAGGCTCCCTAGCTGTTGATCTAGAGTCTGTGAGTTCCCATGAGCTTGGGTCAGCTGTCTCTGTGGGTTTCCCTGTCATGATCTTAACCCCACCCCTTGCTCATATAATCCCTCCTCCCTCTCTTCAACTGGACTCCTTGGAGTTCGGTCAAGTGCTTGGCTGTGGGTCTCTGCATCTGCTTCCATCAGTTACTGGGTGTAGGTTCTATGATGACAGTTAGGGTATTCACTAATCTGATTACAGGAGAAAGTCAGTTCAGGCACCCTCTCCACTATTGCTAGGAGTCTTAGCTGGGGTTATCCTTGTGGATTCCTAGGAGTTTCCCTGGGACCACCCCGTAATGGCCCCCTCTATCAAGGTATCTCTTTCAGGGGCGGTGGTGGCGCACGCCTTTAATCCCAGCACTCGGGAGGCAGAGCTAGGAGGATCTCTGTGAGTTTGAGGCCAGCCTGGGCTACCAAGTGAATTCCAGGAAAGGCGCAAAGCTACACAGAGAAACCCTGTCTCGAAAAACCAAAAAAAAAAAAAAAAAAAAAGATATCTCTTTCATTGCTCTTCCTCTCTGTTCCTCCCCCAACTCGACCATCCTAATCCTGATCCCTCCTCATGTTCCTATCCTCCATCCCCTCTCCTCTGAACCCCCTACCTCCAGTTTACCCAGGAGTTTTCATATGTCTTTAGCTTAGGTTATTCTAATGTACTTTGTGTTGTGTGTGTGTGTGTGTGTGTGTGTGTGTGTGTGTGTGTGTGTGTGTATGATGCGTGTTGATTTATTTTATGTGTGTGAATGTTTTTTGTCTTGCTTTTATGTCGACCATGTGCATGGAGTACCTGCAGAGTCCAGAAGAGGGCAGCAGATATCCTGGAACTGGAGTTATAGACAGTTGTGAGCTGCCCTATGAGTACTGGGAACTGAACTTGGGTCCTCTGGAAGAGTAGCCAGGGTTCTTAACTTAAAATATATTGTGAATGACAATTCCCCTCCTGATTTGTTGTTTGTTTGAGGCAGAGTGTCATGTTGCAGTGGGTGGCTGTTTGAGCCATGCCCTGAAGCACCACCCCTAGTGAGGGAGCAGGTAGCTGTTACAGCTGCCTATGACCTTGAGGTACATGCCCCTGGGGTGTGGCCACTGGGGGTGGACCCTTAAGACCTGGGATGTACATATGTGGCTTTCTCTTTGCTACCTCCTGATTTTGGATTCTGGGACAGACCAGGGCAGAGTTCGCCAGAGAACAGCGTTGGACTGTGCCTCACCCTTCCCGGATTCTGTGACAAATTCCTTTGTTCTGTCATGTGAGTTAACCCCCAAATAAATTCCTTTGATCGTTAAGCAGACTCTGTGGATTGCTAGCGATATAATCCCATTATCATGTAGCTCAGGGTGTCCTCAAATTTGCTATGTATTGGAGGATGGCCTTGAAATCTTGGTCTTGGTGCCTCTGCTGGGATCACAGGCATGAGCCACCACACCCAGTTTTTTTTTAATTTATTTTATTGGTGCTTTGCTTGCACATATGTCTGTGTGAGTGTCATCGGATCCCTTGGAACTGGAGTTACAGACAGTTGTGAGCTGCTATGTGGGTGCCGGGAATTGAACTCAGGTCCTCTGGAAGAGCAGCCAGTGCTCTTACGCGCTAAGCCATCTCTCCAGCTCCAGTTTTTTGTTTGTTTTTTTTTTTTAATTTCATTTTTTGGCAAGTTTTTTGGTGGTGTATAGAAAGGCTAGGGATTTTGTATGTTGATTTTGTATCCTACGTTATTGAAAATACGTGTCAGGCATAAATTTTCCGGTAGAATCTTCATGGTGTTTCAAATATAGAATCATGTTGTTTGCAACTAAGGATACTTCAGCTTCTTCTTTTCCTGTTTGTATCCCTTCTCTTTCTTTCTCTTCTCTTATTACTCTAGTTGACGGTTCATACAATATATTGAAAAGGAAATTGGGCACTTGCCTCTTTCCTAATTTCAGAGTATATGGTTTGGCTTTTTCTCGTTTAGTATTATAGTGTTGCCTATAGGTTTGCTATGTATAATCTTCATTATGTTGATAGACTTTTCTTTCCATTTTGAGTTGCTTCAGAGGTTTTGTCATGAAGGAAGAAAAGTTGAACTTTGTCACAGACTTTGTCTCTTTTGAGATGATCATGTGATTTCTGACCTTACGTCTGTTTAGATGCTGTTATTAACTTGTGTGTGTTGAACCAACTTGATCATGGTGTGTGATCTTCTTAATGTGTTCTTGAATTTTGATTGCAAGAATTCCTTTTGGAGAGATTTTGGACCTATGTTCATCAAGGATATTGGTCTATCCTGTCTTTTTCGTGTCCTGGTCTGGTATTGCTGTCTGGATAGTGCTGACTTTGTAGGATGGATGGTATGCTTTCTTCCCTTTCTGTTTTGGGGAGCAGTTTGTGGCATATTGGTGTCAGCACTTTGCTGAACAAATCCTAAATGGTCTTATAATAAGAACCTGGAGCCAGATATCAGGGTGAAAACTGAAAGATCAGAGAAGCAGAGCAAGCCACAGCCACCAGCTCATACCTCACCAACTCCTCAGCCTGAAAGAGAGTGAGTTCCTGTCTCCTCCCACCTTGTATTCCTTTCTCTGCCCAGCCATATCACTTCCTGTCTCAACCTTCCTAGTGCTGGGATTGAAGGTGTGTGCCACCACTACCTAGCTCTGTTTCTCTTTTACACTGAATTAGTCTCATATAGCCCAGTGTGGCCTTGAACTCACCGAAATCCAGACTGGATCTCTGCCTCCCCGAGTGCTAGGATTAAAGGCGTGTGCTACCACTACCTGACCTCTATAACTAACTCTGTGGCTGGCTCTGTCCTCTGATCTTCAGGCAAGCTTTCTTTATCTCCTAGATTACAAATACATCACCACAGCACTTTACAGGAGTGGTAGAATTTGACAATGAATTGATCCAGTGGAAGGCTTTTTTTTACTGGAGGACTTTTTTTTGAAATTCTAATTAAAATAATAGTTCCCCTTTCCTTTTTTCCCTTCAACACCTCCCATTTTCACTCCCTCCAACCCCACCCATATCTCCCTTCATTCCTTTTCCAATTCATAGAATCCTTTTCCTTGATTATTACTATTATACATATATGAAGGCATGAACAGGCAATATAACCTGCGGTGTCCATTTAGTGTTGCTTATGTGTATATGATTTCAGGGCTGACCACTTGGAATTGGATAATCAATTAGGGAGCTCAACCCTTGGAAAGACTAATAGTTCCTCTCTCAGCAGTCATTAGTTGCCTGTAGTTCTTTTGCTAAAGGTTGGACCCCATGAGATACATGGTGAGACCCTGTCTCCAAAAACAACAGAAAGAATTTACTTAATTATATCCCAAAGGTTTTTGTAAATGGTGTTTTCATTTGAGTCTAGGAGTCTTTAAAATTTCTCCTTGATTTCTTCAATGACCCTCTGCTGATTCAAGAATGTATTATTCAGTCTCCAAGTATTTCTCTAGTTTCTGTCCCGTTTCTTGCTATTTATTTCTAGCTTATTTTCGCCATGTTCTGATAAAACAGAATAAATTATTTTGGTTCTTTTGTGTTTGTTAAAAGTTGCTTTGGGGCCTATAATGTGGGTTTATTTTAGAGGAGGCTCCATGGGCTGCTCAGAAGAATATATGTTCCCTATTTGTGGTATATAGCTGTTAAGTCCATGTGAACTATGCTACAGTTTAAATCAGAAGCTTCTTTTTTCATTTGTAGTTCGAGTGATCGATCTAAAATATATGAAGTATTTCTTAGATTTGAATGTCATTTTTTTTGCACTGAGGCCATGCTAATATCTGTATTCCTCCAAGTTTTGTATATGTGTTGCTAAAGTGAACATTCCATTTTTTTATCGAAAATTATTTTACATCTTATCCAAACGTAACCCCCAAGTTGAGACTAAACGGTGTTACTTCTCCACTGTTTACACTTCTGTACTATTATTTAGACCAAACTGACAACAATGGCAAACAGAAGCTTTTAGTCATTATATTTGGGTGACTATTTTGATGACAGTGGAGCTCAGAAACCCTAATTCTGATTCTTTAAATACAAATTTCAACATCTCCTTCAAGCAGGAGAGTAGGCCTAGCTCCAGAAGTCTTACCAGGATATTAAATCCTAAGTCATGGAAGAATAATGTTCCATTATTAACTCTCATACACCTGTTTTCACATTCTTCCCATATCCAACCTCCTAAGATCCATCCCCAGCTTTTTTCTTCTTATCCCTACAAATACAGATACTTCAAGTTCTACAAAGAGTCAATGAATAATTTTTAAAGATTTATTTGGGGACTGGAAAGATAGCCAAGTATTTAAAAGCACTTGTTGCTCCTTCAAAGGATATGAGTATGATTCCCAGCACCCACCTGGCAGCTCACAACTGTCTGCAACTCCAGTCCAAGGGGATGTGATGCCCTCCTCTGGCCTCTGTGGGCACCTGCATCCATATGCCATACACATATATACACACAACGCATATACACCATGGCAGGGAAGGAGGAGAAAGAGATAGATACATATACATAATATAAATAAAAAGAGTAAAAATAAATCTTTAAAAATAAATGCAAATTAAATGAAACAAACAAAAACCCTCTCTAACTTTGTTCATCATCCCACAGACATAGTATATACTCCTCAAAGACAAACCTATGAAGTGTGATTCTTGAGGTTATATTCATTGCGTGTACTTTACAATAAAACTTCCCAATTTCTTCCTTTGTCTCATCATACAGTACTTTCTTTCATTGTGACAAGAATTTCAAAACTTTTAGTAGAGATTCTTTCTGGTTTCTCTACCCCTGAGGGTCTACTTTAAAGGATCACATCTGATCTAGCTGTCTTCCTTTGACTAAAACAGACCGTGCGGTAAGTGTCTGAGAGCAAAAGTTTTACAGATAATCCCAGGGAGCAGTGCAGGGAAGTTAGACAGGGGAAATGGAAAACAATACAACTTCTATTAGTGAGTAGGTTGGTGCTGTGGGCAAATGGCATTCAGCTCCACTAGGATCTCAGGAAGACTAAATAGAAAGAATATGCCTTAGAGTTTTCCACCTAAGAAACAAGAAAGCTGATGTAGTTTCTTTCCATTTACACTGTTACTTTTGTTTGTTTGTTTTTTTGTTTTTTTTTTTGGTTTTTCGAGACAGGGTTTCTCTGTGTAGCTTTGCGCCTTTCCTGGATCTCGCTCTGTAGACCAGGCTGGCCACGAACTCACAGAGATCCGCCTGCCTCTGTCTCCCGAGTGCTGGGATTAAAGGCGTGCGCCACCACCGCCCGGCTGTTTGTTTGTTTTTTTGAGGGTAGTTCAAGATAGGGTTTCTTGTATAAGAGTTGTAGCTGCCCTGGAACTCACTGTATAGACCTGGCTGTCCTCAAACTCAAAGATCTGGCTTTGCCTCCCAAGTGCTGGGGTTAAAGGAGTGCACCACCACCGCCACCGCCCGGCTCACATTGTTATGTTCCGATAGGAAATGTCCCTCCCAGGCACCCGGGTTGAGGGCTTGGTTCCCAGGTGGTGGTGCATCCGTGAGAAGCTCTGCAAATGCTAGCAGGCAGAGACTAGCCGGAGGAGGTGAGTCACTGAAGATGTATTTTAGGAGGCTATTATCTTGTCCTTGGCTTCTTCCTCTCTTTTTCGGTTTGGTTACTATGTGGTGACCAGTGTTAACCTTCCCTGCCCTTCTCACCACAATACGCTGCCTCACCACAACCCATCAATAATGGACACACACAACTATGGCCTGAAGCCTCTGAAAGCCAAAATACAGATGGCCTGCTTCAAGGTTGTTCCGCTGGGTACTCTGTCAGAGTAGTCCAATCTTTTTACTATAAAGTGGAGTCCTCATTGATTAAGGGTTGCTCCTGGTGTCCTTCACACCTTGACACTTCTTTGCCTCACCTTATATTTTGGTTAGCCACACTTGTGTGGACAGAAAGTTCTTAGGCAGAGAGGCAGGGGTGCTTGTAGTAAGAAACAATGGATGTCTGTGGTGCACAAGGAGAAGCAACAACAGAGTGCTGCCATAGGTGTATGTGAGAGAATGGACATTTTCTTGATACATCTTTGCCTCCTCCCTTTCTGATTGAGGTGGGGTAACAGGTGCCTGAGCAATGGTTGGCAAAAGGCATCAAGATGGAACGTTTCCTCCTTAGAGGTCACATATTTCCTCTTTAGATTTTGAACTTTTAGATTTTTGATAGTACAGTCCATAAAAGCTGTACATGGTGGAGAACTCCCTCCCATAAAGGCAGAAGGGAAGAAAGGAAAATTCCATTCCGAACAACTAGACCTTGCATGCCTATATTGAGTCTCGGTAATATTCTCTCACAGCTCCTGGTGCCTCCACCTTACTGTTCAGAGCTGCTTTGGTCTGTAAGTACAGAATACCTAAGTACAGTGGCATAAGAATAAGGGTTTATTTTCTCACAGACAGGAAGGCTGGAGGTCAGGGGCTGCTGGTACTTGCTTAACATCTCAACAAGGTCGGGGATGATGACTTTGCAGCCTTCTTGGCCTTTCTCTCAATGTCACTAGGTCTACATTCAAGACAAGAATAAGGGAGAGGAGAGAGTACCTGTATAAGGAAAGCAAACCTGTTTCCAAAGAAGCCATGAATTCGTTTCTTCCAACTAATATATCAGCATATCACAAACTTCATGGCTTCAAGGAATACAAGCTTAATATTAATACCTTACAGTTTTGGGCATCAGAAGTCCAAAGTGGGTCTCATTAGGCTAAAATCACTGTTACCAGGGCCAAGTTCCTTCTGGAAGGAAGCTGTAGGAAAGGAAATGTCTCTTTGTTTCAAAAGAGTCATATTCTTGACTGGTAGTTCCTTTTCATCTTTACAGCCAATGGCTGCATCACTCTTCCCCCCCTCGTGTGTGTGTGTGTGTGTGTGTGTGTGTGTGTGTGTGTGTGTGTGTGTGTGTGTGTGTTACAGGGACTAGAATCCAGTGCTTCATGCAAGTTCTTTACTACTGAGCCTCTGAGACTCTTACTTCTGTTTCTGTGAGCATGGATTCTTTTTCTGATTCTGCAGCCCTCCATCTCCCACATTTAAGGACCCTGATATTCTTCTTTTCATTGTATTTGCAATCTTAGTTTTCCTTTTGTCATGCAACCTAATATAGTCATAGAATCTCAGGATACGGACATGGAAATTTACGGGGGATATACGTTATATTGCCTACTACAACCCACTAAGATCTCATTAGCCAAATTTCAAGCCAGAAAGGACCTGGGCAAAATGGAATTGGGAGGGCGCGTTGACTCAGCTTAACAACAATGTCTGTTATACCTTGATGTAATTCTCTCAGCTTGTCATTTTTTATTTCTTGTGTGATTTTTATCCTCTAGTCGTACAGTCCATGATAAAAGGAATCATGTCTTATTTACCATTGTGTTTTCAACGTGTAACCCAGTACTTAACACACAACACATTTTAGTCCACACAGGCATGTGTGATGAAGTACACATGTCCACAAAGTGTGTATCCTCATTAAGGACATTTGGGGTCAGATAAGTATTAAGCCAGGCATAGTGGTGCATGCCTTTAGTCCCAGCACTTGGGAAGCAGAAGCAAGTGGATCTCTGAGGTCAAAACCAGTCTGGTCTGCAGAGCTAGGTCCAGGACAACCAGGGCTACACAGAGAACCCTGTCTTGAACAAAACAGCAATAACAAACAAAACAAAACAAAACAAAACAAAAACAACAAAAGAACTGGAAACAATTTTACTGTTCATATGGAGGAAATGGATAAATGACTGATTTTTTCCAAAATGAATCCCTATACATTTTATACAATGAAATACCCTGCAGCCTTTATAAACAGTGAGGCAGCTCTTAAACGTAATCACATGACTACTCATGATTTATCTTCGTGGGAAAATGCAAGTTGCAGAACAGCATGTGTTGTACGACCCTGTTTATGTTTTAGAAAATAAACTGAAACTTATTGTCCTGGGAAAGAAAGAACACAAAAACATCAGTTTCTTGGTCTGGAAACCTAGATGTCGTAGCCCACACCTGTGATCCCAGGAGTTAGGAGGCAGAAACAGGATAACCCAGAGTTCAAGGCTAACCTTACTATGTAGCTGGTTCAAGGAAAGCCTGGTCTGCAAGAGACCTTGTCTAAAAAAAAAAAAAGCATAAAAGCAACAAAAAATAGTTTTTTAGGGCCAGCAAGAAGACTCAGCAGGTAAAGGTGCTCCACCAAATGTGACAGGCTGAGTTCAGTCCATGGGACCCATATGGTAGATGGAGAGAGCCAACTCCTGAATGTTGTCCCGTGACCTCTACAAGCATGTTCACATACACTCTTCTTCCTCCAAAATAAGTAATTGTAAAAATAGAGAAAGGAACCCAACTCTTGGTTTTGAAGTATTCCAGAAACACATAGCATACTCTTCTCATGTCTTTGCACTGACTTTTCCTCCTTTCTGTAATACTTTCCCATCAGTGTATTAAAATATTAATGTATCTCCAACACAGAAAAAAATTAGAGGAAATATTAATACAAATTGCTATAATTGGTGGCTATATTCTCTGTTCATTAAGGTCTCTGTACAATGTTGTCTTGATAGAGTTACCTGACTTGATTGAGATTTCATCTAAAACAGCAGGCTCTGTCACTCTCCTTTTCTTATCCTCCACTCTATTTTTGTGACATTGTGTCCATTTGTTTGTCCCATCCCATGAGGCTGTGGATGTAGGATGTACATTCACCTAGGTGATTGTGATCTGGGCTGCTAGACTACCTCAATTTTCAAACCATTTCTAACATTTAGTTAGAACAGTAGTTCTCAAAACATGGTCTCCATGCCAATAGC